GGGCCGAGCGCTGCGGCTAGGATGGGCTAGGGGGCCGAGCGCTGCGGCCACGGGTTAGGTTAGTTAAGACACTTTCTGGGCCGAGCGCTGCGGCTAGGATGGGCTAGGGGGCCGAGCGCTGCGGCCACGGGTTAGGTTAAGTTAAGAAACTTCCTGTCACACCCATGTACAAAATTGATAGGAGGGGGGGGTCCAAAAATCGTTCTCTAGGAATATACCGTAAATATTTGAACTCAATAAACAAATTTATCCCTTTAAGTGTGTGTGTAAAGTCTGACAGAAGTTTTTAGTTGGCATGGTTTTGGCAAACATCCCCTTTACTTGACAGAAAATGATACCTGTGTATAATTATGATAACTCGAATCTCTAACCTGAGTGGTCCTGTGTTGAACTCCTCCTGCTCCCTAGCCTCCATCTCCTCCGGGGTCATTTCAACCTTACTCATCTTAAAGCTCTAGGTATAGTTCGTCTGAAAGAGATATTCATACTTTAACTAGGTTCAGCGTAATATACATCATTTATAATAATTTATTCACAATTTCAGTGTTTCAATACAAAATAATTTCATAATGAAATATTTTTAAAAACGGAAAAGTGTACTTTGTTCCAAGGTGATTAAATGCCGGGAAAAATAAACATGGAGTCGGATACAAACTAAACGTTTGAGGCAGGTAGATGATTATTATAAAATGTCGTCTTCACAGGAACAGGGATAAATACTATAAATTTTTCTGTTAGGGGGGGGGGGTTGTGAAGGAAGATCAGTCATTCAGTTAAAACTTAAATCGGTTAAGATATATAGAGGGCCAGAAAATTTGGGTTTAAATAAATACTTCAATTCTATCAATACAACGTCAACGTGTGCAACATTGCGAAATTTTATCTTCCAGTATTTTTTTCAAGGTATACAGCTATAGCGAATAAAAGCTTGTACAAATGAAACGTTTCACAGTCTACATTCAGTGAATCATCTAGTTAGATATCAACCAACTGAAAAAATTGTAAATCTTGTAAAGTTGAATCGTTGAAACAAAAAAAAATGGTGGGAAAAGCATGAAACCAAAGAAGAAATATGTTCGTTCTACGCACATTAAAAACGTTATAAAAAACCGAAAGCCTAAAACGAATATGTCTGATTGTCTTAAATAGCATGAATGTTAATGAATGTTCTTTCTTCAGTATAATGGTGATTTTAACTCCCGTGAATTGAGATTATCGACCGTCCCAATGATCAGGACGTGTTGGAGATGTGTTAACAAGATGAATTTGATTATTAGGAAAATGCTTTATCCGAGGATCAATATCGTCAACACGAGGATATCTCCACTCTATCTCCGTCCGTAATGGAGCTCCGGGTGCTTCTCTTAATCGGGAAACATCGGTGGCATGTCCAACTCCGCGATAGAGCTCAGGAACGTCCGGGTTTCTTAGGCTTGGCTGGATTGGTCTCACAGGACCTGCTCCTAGATATTCAGTACCTTGGATTCCTCTGTACCTAGATCCTACATAACTTTCAGGAGCCGTCCTTGGTCGGTTGTAATCAACATCTCTGGGATACACAGGCGGATGCTCTAATCTTTCCCGGATTAATCCTGTTTGATGATCGCGGATTCCTTCGGTTGGACTTGCTCTAACTCCTGCAATAGGAACATGATGCATTCCAGACAACATTTCATGGATTCCGCGGACTGGGTTTGGATTAAACCTTTCCATTTTGGTTCGTTGAATCCCTAAAACTTGATTCTGATGAGCTCCCGACGCTGGACCTACGAGAACAAGAATGTTATCTGTATTATCATTTATAAAGGGTTACCCACAAAGGAAGAGACTGAAAAGAAAAAAATCCTAAAATTTGACGATCCCATGGGATAAATAAAGTCTTCTGTCTTGAATTTTGTATTTTAACTGATTATTTAATAATTTGATGACAAAGTATTTATTTCACAGTTGTAGGGAATCGTGAATTTGAGAAACCGGACAGTATAATTTCTCTAAATTCGTCGCTGACGTCTCATCCTTTGTAGATAATCCAGTATTGCAGCTTGTGTTTTTTTTGGTTTGGATCCGGCAACCGTTAAAACAAGACGCGTGCAGATAGATAGATCAGCACTGAAAAGAGAAAATTGGTATTGAACAATGAACATAAATATCAAAAGAAAATGTGCACTAACCTCTATAATCTAAAGAACGATATTCATCCCGGGGGTTGGCTCCAGTGAGTGGTAAAGGCTGGACACCTAGAGAGGATTCTGGATACGTGTTCGGATATCTTAATTGATCAATCTGATGGGTTCCATATTTATCATACATTCTTTGGTCCTGGAGAACATCTCTCTGACGCTGAACCTCTACCCTGTCATGCTGAACCTCGTTGTTTATTCTCCTGGTCTCAAACCTTCCTCCTAGGTTCTCAATCCTATAGGGATCCCTCAAAGGGTCAGTTCTCTCCTGTTCAAACCTTCCTCTGTTACCCTCTTTGTGTGGTAAACCATGATCTAAAGTTCGTCCGTCTCTCGGATCATTGTTACGCTCATATTGAGCTGTTTGACCCCTGGGTATAGGTTGAAGATTACTCCTCTGTGCATCCTGATATCCAGGAGAGGATCCACCTCGCACATTTTCAGCTCTGTGTCCAACTCTTTGTCTCAGGTACTGATGAGCTCCACTATCTGAACCATGTCCAACCGAGCCCCGACCTGACTCTGACATACGTTCTCCCGTCTCGGAAATATGACCTGAAGCTAGACTTTCAGATCTTTGTCCGTCAGTAGATCTATTCAGTTCAACAGTTTGCATAGAGGCAGCCAGTCTTTCAATCTAGATAAAAGCAAAACACAAAAGGTCGAGAAAATAAAAAAATCATTTTGAAATGAAAAATTACGATTTTGAATATATTTTTGATTATTAGCTGAAGGGTACTTAATTTCTATTGGCTTCCGAAAAGAGTCGTTGCCACAAACTCTGATTTTCTAATCCCTATATCTTTGCAGCCCAATGTCGTAGTACTTATATATTTCAAACTAAGATTTCTGTTGGACCAAATAATCTAAGTTTGAAATATCAAAGGTATCGGGTTGCACTGCTATAGGGACTAGAAAATTTCAATTCGTGACAGAGACTTAAATCCATTCTTTTAAAATAATTTGAGAAAACAATCTACATTAAACCTTAATAATTAGAAAACTATTTTTCTCCTAGCTTGTATCTTATGCAATAATGCAGACGTTTCATAAAGATTTTTTCAGTAATTTTTTTTGCTGCATAAAGTGTGATGGACGATTTGGAAAAAAACAAAACCTGGGTTGCTTTCTCCTTTATCCGCGCCTGGACGGATAACAAAATTTCGTTCTTCTCCTGATTCACAATTATCAACTAAATTTTGTATCTTAACACATGGATCTGAAACCTGGGCCTATTCAGTACTTTTAATTTGAATTTAAACCCTGAGCCTACTTATTTAAATATCTTGGCAACCCAATGTCGTAGACCTTACAAATTTCAAACGTTGAAATCTGTTAGATCAAATGATTTAAGTTTGAAATATCAAAAGTTTACATCATCAAGCTTTAAAGATGTAAGAATTAGAAACTTTGAGGTTTTGGCAAAGACTTAATTCCTTTGAATATGAACCCTGAGCTTACGTTGTATCTCTAGATCTAAATCTGAGCCCTAAGCTATATAAGTAGGTTTCTTTACAGAATCTGAACCCTGAGCTTACTTTGAATCTTTAGATCTAAATCTGAACCCTAAGCTATATAAGTAGGTTTCTTTACAGAATCTGAACCCTGAGCTTACTTTGAATCTTTAGATCTAAATCTGAGCCCTAAGCTATATAAGTAGGTTTCTTTACAGAATTTGAACCCTGAGCTTACTTTGTATCTTTAGATCTGAATCTGAGCCCTAAGCTATATAAGTAGGTTTCTTTACAGAATCTGAACCCTGAGCTTACTTTGTATCTTTAGATCTGAATCTGGGCCCTAAGCTTATTCAGCATCTTAACATTTGAATCTAAACCTTGATCTCACTAGGTATCTTTAAATCTGTACCTGAACCCTAATCGTACTTTAGATTAGAATCTTACTTCTAATTTTGAACCCTGAGCACCTGAACTCTAAACTATTGATTAACTGTTGTAATTAGCTTTCTGCCCTTAAATGACTCAATATTTATGAATACATTAAACCGTATATTAAGGAACTTATTAAATGCAACATATTCTAATTTTTGAATCCCGCTTTGTTTGCAACCTGATTATGTAAATCTTTGATATTTCAAACTTAGCCTTTCTGATCTCACAGTAGTCATAACTTAAAAAAGTCTATGATATTCATGGCATCAGGTTGTGATGATTCAAAAATTCTATGGCGAGTTATCAGTTCCTTTGTGAAGCTGAACTGTTTACTTTTTGAGGTTTAACGAACAGGATAGAGAAATTATTAGCGTGGAATTAAATCATTCCCACTGTAAGAAATGTTTCAATTCTTGCAGCCTGAAAAGGAGTTTCCTCTTCTTTGGTTTTAGGTAACACTAGATCTATCTGCTTAACTTAGTAAAATTTTTATTTACAGTTTAGTTGATTCCTCGAGTTTTTTGTTTTCAGCTGAAATTTTTGTTTGTAAATCTCGAATCATGCTCTTCATTTTCTTCGTCGTTCTGCCAATGATGAAGTAAAAATTTAATTCTATAATCATAAACATCGAGTCATTACCAATCAACAATTCAATATGAATATGAATATGAATATGAATATGAATATGAATATGAATATGAATATGAATATGAATATGAATATGAATATGAATATGAATATGAATATGAATATGAATATGAAAACGAATACAGACAATCATAAATGAACATTATACATGTACATTAACCCGAACGAGCCAAATGCAAATACAAACACAAACACAAAAAATGAACAAGAAAATGAACATTAATAAAAGTCCAGGCATTCCTTGTGAACTGGTGATTCTGATATGCAGATCTCTTCCGAACCTTTGCCAGTGAATCCTCATTCCTTTACACAGCGGTCAACTTATACCACGCAAAAATTCAGATTTTTAAGACAAAAAAACTGCTTACTCGTGTCAAAATATATTTCTTTGCATTTAGATAATGTAACCCTATAATATTAACTATTTGATCTGGCAGAATTCATAGTTTACCATAGTCGATTTCACAGATGTAAATAGTAAAAAGTTTAAGACGAGTTCTTTCTTTATTAAATGAATTCTTCATCTGATATGAAAAACCGTGGTTTAATGAATGAGAAAATTATTCATATCATAAATTAATAATTGTCAATATTACAGTTCAAGGCTGCCTGTTGAACACTTCTTTAAGATGAGGAGGTAAGGACATAGTGATGGGGAGAACTTTAACCGAATTCTTCTTACACCCTGGACATTCATCTTTCAGATTTACAGTACAGTCTTCACATAGCATACATCCACAGCTTGAGATAGAAAACTGCTTCGCCTTAAACCAGGTTGCAAAAGTCAAGAAAGAAAAACATTTAAAGGGACTGTCATCATAATTTACAGAGGTACTGACAGGGATTGTTTACCTAATTAAAAGTGGATACAAATAACAAACTATTGGAATTATTAAACAGTTGAGCTATTCTTGCCACTCAAAATTATCCCAAAGGACCAAAATAACCGATAACGTCAAATAATCATAATCGTGTAAACCTATAAACCATCAAGTCTGTAAGTCCTTTTTTTCTCATGAAAGTACTGTGAAATTAGAAAAACTGGTAATCCTTCAACCAGGGATGTAAAGAAACGAAAATAATAGAATAAAGGTTCAGTACCCAAATAGATTCTTTTACAATAGATGGCATCAACGCATAATTTGTACACTCTCAGTAAAGCTGTATTCTTACGTCACAAGTGTCAACTTAGTTTTTGTTCCGACAAAATTATTAATAATAGAGATAATTTTAGAATAGTGTTTATCTTACAGTGCAATTTAGTGCAATTTTATGAATTAATTTTCTTTTTTAAATTTTTTTTATTTAATCTTGGAAACGTGTTATTTAATCTGAGAAAATTTCGTTTTTCTTGTTATGTTCGACACTTGTGACGTCGTGTATAATTGATCCATTTCTCTTTTGCCACTTATTGTACTTAATTGTACTTGATAATCTGTTTGGTTGTACCAATGTTCAAAACAGATAATTACAACCTATCCCTGAGCTTCAGACAGCTGATCAAACCTTGTACAACAGACTGTACAGGTAACCCAGTAGAGATGGCTCGTACCGGACATCTTCGGTAGGCTTAAGTTGTTGTTATTCAATATAGAGATGATCCCTGCAGAGTGAAAACATATTTGGTTCTACAGGAACAAAGGTTGTATCCAGCTACGATCCATCCTTCACAAGAACAAGAACAAGAACCATTTCTAAACTCTGGTCGGAAAACAATACATAAAAAAGAAACAAAAAATTCGACAACAATTCATTAAACATCGCTCTAATTTCTAAAATTTAATAAGAATATAGATCTGTATAGATAATGTAAAGTTTAATCACAAGGGTCGTGTTTTTTGTTCAAAATAAATATCTTATGTTCAATATTCAGGTTATAAAATAACTTCACAACACAAAAAATTTAATATTTAAATGGAGTTTGTATCAAGGATAAGGCAAGGTTGGAACTGATCACTCTAATTAAAAAGTTTGTTTGAAGGTTTTCTTAAAATGGAGAAACTAAAAAGTCTGCAAAATATACAACCATACAGAGAAGAGAATTGATTAATTAAGCAACAGTAGAACGAAAAAATATAAACTAAAAACATGGAGTTCATCTGATTTTAGAAAATATAAATGCGAGGATAATTTTGGGTTTATAAAGTTTCATGAAAGCACAACATCAGATCAATCAGGAATTTGCATAGAATTTGCCAAAATGTTTTGCAGTTGGAGCAATTTCATAAAATAACAATGGCTAACGCATGAGGAAAACTATGTGGATTAACACTTTAATACGGGTAATCTAGATAAATCGAAAAAACTGGTTGGTAGTTAATCATGATAATAACACCAACATTTGAATAACTAGATACTAAATCGCACTAATTAAGCTCGTATATAATAAATAAATAAATGAATGAATGATTGATTGATTGAACATAAAGAGTTCAGAATTTGAAATCTAGATCAAGGTTTGATTATCTAACTATCAGTTCTAACCCCTTCAGAGTCCAGAATGTACTATGGAGCAATGAATTATTACTTCTCAGAACTAGGATTCATCTTTGATATTTAAAGAGTCCGGAGTAAAGCTGTGGGTTCTGTATCCTCCGTCTCCTGCTGGAAGAATGCTGAGAATGTTTCTAAAGCTTCTCTAGTCTGAGCAGTGTAAAGAGGAGACCCAGGTAGTTTACAGCACACGGATACTAGTCGGTTTAGGTAGGTTTGTAGATCCCTCTGTCGTTCACTAGAAACCGCCTCAGTTTTAGAACCGAATAGTTTCCTGGACGGGAACTGTAGAAACTGAACTGCAGACCCGTATCTGCTGCACATTAAAGTATGTAGATCTCTAAACTGTCGATAGCGACGGGATACTTGGAACTTGGATTCACTTTCAACCAGGCTAATATCTACCTCGTAGATGACGTAGCTGTTCTTCCCAACCCCGTTAGTGTAGAACCTGTGGATATTTATCTGAATTCGACAATCCCTAAATAAAAAGTTTGTTAAATCTTAAATTTTCTATTTTATTTAACCAAATCAAATCAAATCAAATCATGAGTGTTAGGGAAAGCTTTAGGCTCCACTCTACAGCTTGGAGTTTCAAGTCCTGACTGAGAGGTGGGTTTTCAGCCCGGATTTGTTTAATGTACAACCGTTAATGAATCGAGTGTTTAAATTTAGCGAAATGATCCCAGCAACACGACCAAATTTGAGCCATGCAACCATTTTTAGCTCCCTTTCACTCATGTATGACCAAGCGATCAAATGCAAACAAAATTTTCCAAGATATATTTAAAACCATATATGTATATATATATATATATATATATATATATATATATATATATATTTCTTGTTTAATGTTTTAAAATAATCGCTTTTATTACTAATAATGTGTGCCTTCATATTCTTTTTTCGACTAATTCTTTATTGTTGTAAAGGCGCGTAGTGGAGGTTTAGCCTAGGGGGGGGGGAGCACTTTTTTGTGCACTCTCTAACGGTTGATGTGCACCCCCTAAAAAGAGCTGACTATTAGTTATTTGACCATAATTACCAATCATTTTAAATAAAACCCCGCGAAAAAAATATTGTAAATAAGATTAAGGTACAAGAAAGAATTTGAGAAATTATCATAAAATGGACAAATTGTAACATTGTCGATTGATAAGTAAAGTAAAAAATCTGAATATATATGTAAGCTTACTGTTTAATAAATTAGAGCCTGCCTCTGGCTCTAGGGGAGGTGCCTAGGGGGTGCATGTCTAGGGGGGACAGGGGTACCCCCCCCCCTCGACTACGCGCCTGATGTAGATTGTAATTATGATCCACTCTCAGTATATCCGGTTTTTTTTAACCTAACTCTTTCTCCTCACCCTCTTTCAATAAATAAAAAGAGCCATAACGAACCTGTTAATAGAAGGACGAGGAGAAGGTATAGAGTTGCTTAATTTCTTCTTAATCAGGTACATTTCTCTCTCATGAGCAACCCTCAACCGTTCAAGCTCCTGGTAAGTTTCAAAATATTATATTTTTTAAAAACTCGAGTTTTTTTAAAATACAAAACCAGATTAGCTAGGTGTTTAATGTGAGCAGTGTAATTTTAAGAGGTCGTTGAGTAAATGCAATGAAAATTCTAAATTGAATTCTCCTCTATCACAACTTCATACCTGTTCTTTCTCTAATAGTATCAGTTCTCTATCCTGTCTCTCCTTCTCAGCTCTGAGCTCTGCCTCTGCCTGGAGTCTTCTATCCACCTCTGCATCTATCATCTGAGAGAACCGATCCTGCAGGAAGCTTAGATCCTCTCCACTCTAGATATAAATATATGAATCTGAAACTTAAGTGCTATATCGAATTATCTCCTCAAAGTAATTTCTATATTTTTAAAGATGTTGAACAACTATGAAATCTAAAACCAAATCTGTAAGATCTATTTTCATATTTAACTATATAGTTTGTCGTTCGTAACTTAACAAATTCAAGTTCATTTCATGGTGTCAAGATTGCAAAAATGCGAAAAGTTACATTTTCCACCAAAAAGCGCGCGCGCGCGCGCACTTTTGCTCGGATTTTAATAAAACAGAACTTTACAGTTACAATACATAATTTTTAGTTCACATGCAAATTTTTTTTCTTCATTTTTTTTACGCGAGTGCGTAAATGCTTAAAAATTGACATTGATATGAATTCCGGCAATGTCTCAAAACCAGGATATGTTCGGAAAACGTGACATGAGCTGAAATCCGATAATTGTTTCCAAATACGGATATATTCGAACATGAAATCAAGGATCATCAAGAACTAATTCTCACACCTTATTATTAGTTTAAAATTGACATTTATTGTTTCAACCAAATCAAATCAAATCAGGCTTTTAGGGATATCCTACAAACACACACCAAAATTGAAGGGGGGTAAAATATCAACCAAGAACTGCAAAAAAAAACTTTTTTACTCCTACAACCCAAATCTGAACCTTTAAAAAAAGAGATATTTTGAAAATTTCCCCATTTCTGAATGGTTCATCAAGTTTTAGGGTAAAAATATGCGAAAAAAAATGAAACAAAAAATTTGAAAATTATTTTGTATATCAGGAAAGAAATTAACTGGATCAGGATCCATTTTTTTCCAGTTCGGATCCAGGATCAGGATCCGGATCCGCATCAAAATTAAATGGATCCTAACTAATTTCCCCTGAGCTAATGATCCGAGTTTTTCTGGTCATGACTGTAGTTTACCTGTGAGAGTAAGAATGATTTTGTAGATTCAAACTCCATCATTGAATAATTATGTTGCATAGATTGTAACTTTGCTATCTCAGAATTTAACTGAAATCAAAGAATAGTAAATAGTTTGAACAACAATAAAGATGCACTGTAATTCATCGACATGCACCCCATGTGACCATATATACATGTTCAAACCAAAGAAGACGGAAGAATTTCTACTACACGCTAAAATATTTATGAAGACATTTATTTCATAACTTGCTGATTGCTCTGTATTTTATAATGATTTTAGGTATTCCTTCACATTATCTTTACATCAATGTTAATTTGAATAGAAAATGTCTCTAATTTATCTTTAAATGTTGGAATTTTGTCACAAAAAAGTTATAATTAAGACGTTGCATATTTCAAGTCTGCTATTCTCTAAATGACATAAATAGAGAAAAGATTTAATCTAGAGTAACTACCTGTTCAATATCACACTGATCCTCCTCTAAACAAGCCATGATCACCTCCTTCTGGTCACAGATCTCCTGGTATAGGTTTCCTAGTGCTACACTAGACTCTCCAACCTCACTCTGAGCACTGCTCTGGGTAAACCCACTGCACTGCATCAATGCTCCGCTATCACTACCCAGGGTATTGGCACTACTGTTACTGGTTTGCATAGAAGATGCAGACCCCGAGATTCCAGACTTGGAACCAGGATTAATATACTCCGGAGCTATGGATGGAGAGTAACCACTCTCATCCACACTGGAAAAAAAATAATTCATCAAACTAAAGATTATGTTTTAACCGAAATTTCTTCTATTTTACAATCAGTCGACTGATCAAATACAGGTTTCAAAATAAATAATGTAACTAGTAGTTTCCAACAAATCCTATTTTTCTTTTAAAGATTTCCAACTATTCTGTGATCTTTGAAATTAAGGCCGAAAGATTTTAGAATAAGTCTGAGTGTTACCTATGACTAAACAACTCGTCTGGATATCTAGATTTTCCTCCAACAGCTGGAGTACCCAGAGGAGTACTTGTCTTATCCCGACCCCGTCGTAGTGGAGTACTACTCAGAGTAGGATTCGCATTCTCATCAATAATTCCGCTCCTAGAACCAGAATCCTCGGAACACTCCAACCTGGAGCTCACGTCTAAACTAGATTCATCCTGTGTTAAATCCCCCGCTCTACTCCGAGGGGTACCTTGAGCTGTATTTGAACCACTCGGATTCTTTAAGGTATTAATGCTTTCCTTAGAACCCTCCCTGATGAGGTCCCCGGCCTCTATTCCAGTAAGGATATTCTCAGCGACCTCGACATCCGCCTCAGCAATATCTTTGATATCGGAGTCCGAGGAGAACATCCTCCATTCTCCTGAGTTTCTAGAACCTGGAGGGAACCTCAGGTCGGATAAGGATTGGCTCATCAAGCTCTGATTCATCAGGGAAATCTAAATATAAAGTATTCGTATTTGTCTGACCCAGTTTAGCCCCTAAATAAGAAATTTAAGAAATTTATTCTTGTAAATTTATCTGCCGATAATTTTGAAAACTGATTATTTTCAATTGTGGTATTTCTACTGCAGGAACACATATGGGAAATATCAAAATTTACACTTTTAGCCTAGAAAAACGACAAAATCTTTCGGATTATAGATCAGATAAAGGTTTGAAGGGTACCATTGTAAATCGGGCATTGCCACCTTTGTAGGAAGAGTGACTTGAAATTACGCTTTAAGCTGTTATATTTCTTCTTTGTGTTCATAGTTTACAATCTCGAGAACTGTATTATTGCACATGTCATGGTAAACCAGTCTAAATTTTTCCTATAAGGGGTATTAATAGATCTAGGAGGAGGAGATTCCTCTGTACATAACAGATATCTTACTTAATAACATTCAATATTACCTTTCTAGAGTTTTCAGTCATTGTCTTCCTCATGTCTGCAGCTTCCAAGGGATCATTATATCGAAACATATTTGTTTTTCCTAAAATCAAGCAAACGTGACAATTGATATTAATTTTCATAATTAACAATAATAATTTGTTTAGAGCGCATTTTGGATCCAGATTGCAAAATTCAAGGGATATGTATTCCCCTGAAACCATTTAGATCAACGAAAAAAATGGAGCAAATGGGTTGAGTAAAATAATCAGCCGATCCTCCCTATTTACCTAGAACGATGACACATCCCTGTGATAGTCTGACCGGTACATCTACTGGGGACGCATTTACTATACAGAGAGAACCTGGAGCAGGATACAGGGTTGCTACTCCAGACTCGAGGCTGATGGTACAGTGCTGGGGGAGAATACTGAAATATTTTTATGGTATCAAACCTTGACTATATATCAATTTCCATCCCTTTAACTCAGATTTCGCTTTCACAGCAGATTTGATTTCAAATGACTCGACAGTTTATGATAAAATTGCATAAAATAGGATCTAAATATAATTTACAGACCCTTGCAGGTAGCCCCTCCCCCTCTTCATTTTATTTTTTTGAGATTTAAAAAAAAATTCTTGCCTGGGTCCTTTCAGTAGAATGTGAGGTATTTCATCCGCTTCAGCATTTCCTATAATAGTATCTCCGTCCCTGAGCTGATACAAGGTTATTCCAGTAGAGAGAATATCCTCATCTAGTCCTATCAGATGAGGTTTATCACTGTCCAGGACAACTCCTAGTCCTGTTCTCTTCAATCCCAGAGCATTGTGCTCCTGGAGTATCTTGGCGGCTTCACGCCATTTCTCATTCCACTCTGCGGTCAGCTTCTGTTCCTTAGCTTCCTTCTGAGCCAACTGTTCCTGAACCTTCTCCAGTATCAAGGGATCCCCGGACATAACAGCTTTGAGTCGATCTATTTCCTCGCGGAGCTCACGGATAAGTTTAACGTTCGCGTCCTCGTTCACCGTAGGTTTATTGATTATATTCTTTGCTCTATTTGCATAGCGTAGTGTTGAGAGGGTTTCATTATGGTTTACATCTGCAGGAGATATTGTTGCAATCATTATAGTTTTAGAATTTCCTCCCAAACTGTCCTTTAGGAGCCAGGTTAATACAGAGTCTCTAAAATATACCAAACTTTTGTCTAGAATCTATACATTATACATTATAGAAGGTGTTTAAGATAAGAATATTTATGATCCATATTTTATGAGACTATTTTCTACCCAGAGCACTCTCTGGAACTAGACAGTAGACAAGATAAGATTATCTTTCACACTCTTCATATTTTGTGTGTCAATAGAATCATGTGAGGGGGGATTCTTTATATGGGAAGAGAATAAAGTAGATTCAAANCTGTCAATAGACTAAAGAAAGAAATCAAGAAAGGATATTTAGTCAAGATTTGTGATAAGAGAAGGGGTCAGGATGGTCAGGATATTGGGTTGGGCGAATATGGTCTCTGGTCAGGATATGTTGGAAAAGGGGAAGGAACCAGGATATCACAAAAGGCAGTCAGGATACTGAAAAACAAGGGGTAAAAGATTAAGTTGAAGTAAAAAACTAACCTGTAAGGGATAAAGTGTGGTTTACTGGAACTAGTTTTTGAACTTGCCTCTGCTAAAGCAGATATCACAGATCCTAACAAATATATAAGAATGTTTCTTTTAGGCGAAGGTATCAAAAGGTAAGCAAAAACTTTGGGTTTTATTACCCAGAGAATCGAAATCCATTTCCCGAGGGTTAATTCTTGGAAATATATGTCACTGGACAACATTGCATATTGAATACTTGACTAATTATCGAGAATGGGTGCAAAGCAATACCACCCTCGATGTGCAAGTGCTAACTTAATAATTAACTCACCTAGAGTTACTAAAGATTTATTTATATGAGCTCCTTCCTTTAACCTCTGTCCAGTAGCTCCGGTTGCATTTGCTCTCTCTGATCCTGCCAGATCGACTAGATGAATCTTGGACAAGGTTTCGTGTGGCATACCCTCCAGGTAACCAGCTTGTACGAATGTTATCGTAAAGATAGCATGAGATCTGGACATTAAAAGCCAAACTTAACGCGGGCAAATAAATTGTAAAAAAGTTTCTGAATTAAAAGATATCGACTAGAGTGAATTATTTCCAAAATGAGTTTAAGAAATGATTAAAAACTTGGTAAGGATAAAAGCTAAAAAACATCTGAATTCAAATTAAAATAAAATTTTATTTAGGGATAGTTTTCTCCAGGTTTGAGTTTGATTCCTGCTGGAAGTATCGTTCATGTTAGTAGATGCTGTAGTTCTCAGATCATTGCCCTCTTCCATTAATCTAGATAAATAAGACATTTTTCATGTTGACAAAATAACAAATTTTAAAAATCCATAGAACGCCAGGGTTAAAAGAAGAAGACTTTCTTAATATTGAATCATATGAAATAAGGTGTTAGGTGAGATCCCCAGCGCAACTTCCCCAGTCTCAACTTCCCCGGGACATCTTCCCCAACAGCAATTTCCCCAACAACCAATTTCCCTAACACAAATTTCCCCAATTACTAATTTCCCCAACAGCAACTTCCCCAACAACTATTTCCCCATGCAGTAAAATATACAATAGTTCCGTTTTTAACATTATTCCAATGAACAAATGCGCAATTTTAAAATTAAAAAATGTCAACTTTTTGAATGTGAAAAAATCAGTTGAATTAGAGTCGACAATGTTGGCAGTTTATACACTGTCCTCGAAGAAGAGAAATGTTCTGGTGGATCCCAATAAGTATGAGTACAACCTACAATCAATGTCAAGGGACAAATCTAAATCATTCTGAAACTGTGTGGAGAAAAGGAAACATTCAAAATGTGTAGCAACAGCCGTTGTGAAGGAGTCTGATAACATTATCATATCACTTTCTAACAACCATAATCATAATATGGGAAATTAAAAATTTTACTGCATGGGGAAATTGGTGTTGGGGAAGTTGCTGTTGTTGAAAAATTAGTGATTAGGGAAGTTAGTGTTGGGGAAATTAGCGGTTGGGGAAGTTAGTGTTGGAGAAATTAGTGGCTGGGGAAATTGCTGTTGGGGAAGTTGTGACTGGGGAAATTGTGTTGGGGAAGTTGTGCTGGGAAATGACCTAACACCTGAAATAATAGGATTCCATTAAACGTAACAGTTTATAAATAAAAAATTCTCATTTAGTGGAAAAATAAATGATTTTTGAGTGAACAATTAACAATTATTACATATATTTCATTGACAGGAATACCAGGAAAACCAAGAATACCAGAAATACCAGGAATACCAGGAATATCAGAAATACCAGGATAACCTGGAATACCAGGAATACCAGAAATACCTGGAATACCAGAAATACCAGGAATACCTGGAATACCAGGAATATCAGGTAAGAGATATGAAAGCTCCCCCCTTTCTTGAAGAGCCCACTCCACTATCTAAGGTGAACCCCCAACTATCCTTGAACCCCTTGAGATAATGATGTGGTAACCTGAGAATATCTCTGTATTCTACGACTAGATGTTTGGATAGGTCCTGGACGTATGGTCCCTGAGAAGGGTGCTCACGGACCTAAAAACAAATCAAGTAATTATGGACATTCTTTTACTTGTACCACTAGCTGGAGTGTCTGACGTTGCCCGTGGTGTTTTCAAACTGGTCCAATTTTCATTAAACTACCACCTCGTCTGAATGGTTAATCTGTTAACAGAAGGAAAATTTGCACATTTTTATTTTATCTCTTTCCAAATAACTAAGTTTGGTTGGCTACATAGTACACATTACTAACAGTAATACACACGCACAAATGTATATACATTCCGACGGTCTACTTAATAGATAAAATAAAAATATCCAAAATATAAAGAACTTGCGTGAAGAACGGATCTGAATCTATTTTAAAGCTCACTTGGGTCTTAATATGGATTTAGATACTGATATTGGACGAAATAATGTGCTAACATTATGATTTTTGTTTGGCTCATGGTAACATATCATGGCTGGGGTAACATTAGAGCTGGGGGAGCAGAAATAAATACATCAAAATTGCGCAATACAAAATTATATTTGATGGTTTATCCGAAATCGCTGATCCTGAGTTATTCAGGACGAATCCAGGATCCGAACCAGGATCCGAACCAAGATATAATGGACGCTAAGCACTACTTGGAAACCAGTTAACCGCAACCGTCAAAATCTCTGCTAATTACAATTAGAGAAAACAACTGAAGCAGAACGAGGAAACCTTAATTTCTTATATAAAAAGAATCCTTTTCATCCCATCAAATACTAATCTATAACACGGCAAAAATTAAAATTTTACAAGTTAAATTTTATAAGTCTTATAGTATTTTATCACTAAAACTATCTATTCATACTTTATTTCTATTTGATAAATTTTCAGTTATGAATAGTTTTCAATAAAATATCCCCCCAACCCCCCATTTTTTTTGCAAATATCACTTTTATCACAAGAGCATTGCAAAAATTTAAATGATTTTGTAAATTACAACTTTATGATTCAAAAATCAAACTAAGTAGACGGGTTTACGGCATCGCACAAATATTTGTAAGATTTATGTATAATTTATACATCACCTTGAGGTTATGTGTCGAGTTCTTCTTCAGGAGATCCTTGACCCGTTCGTTATAAATCTCCAGGTAGGAAACCTCGGTCCTGTAGGAGGTACCCTCCTCCTTCCCCGCACTCATCCGGTTAAACATCGTCTCACAAATCCGGGGAATCAATCCTCTAAATTCAAATAATTTCATTGCCTTATGCTTCTAATTTGTGTATTTAATAGTGGGGTGCAGGTTCGAATCAATCCGTTCTACAATCGAAAAAAACTGGATTTAACAGACATCAGAAAAAATTTCTTTTCAAATAGAGTGGTCAACCTATGGAATAGCCTGCCGATAGACATAAAGGACTCGAGGGTCAAAATTTTCAAGAACAAACTTGAGCTGCTGAAATTTTAACTAAGTACGCTGATACTCGAGATGTATGGACTGGTGCTAACACTGTTCCGCGAGGACAAAACAGATATGGACCAAGAGGCCCTCTGCAGATCAACCTCCAAGTAACAAGTAAGTAAAATAAAGACTTGGCAAGTCAAAATAGGACTTATAAATATTTTTTTCGTGAATACATCGCAGACGGATAGGTTTTCACTTTTCAACCTCTAGCCTTAAAATTTCAAATTTACCGTTAACGGTAGCCTTTAAACCTTTATCTGATCAATGCTAAAGGAGATAAATAGATTATTTCTTAGATAGTGGTTTCTGTAAAAAGCGACTTGCGGGTTTTTACGCTGTAGAGACAAAAAGGATATTTCCAGTATACAACACGATGATACCTTCTTCGGAGTTACTCAGAGAGGTGTTTAAAGGGTACCACTGTGAATCGAATCAATCTAGGAATGAGGGTCATTCGAAATTACGTCACATTAATCCCATGGATGTGGCAAATTTGTGTAGCGACAGCTACGGTGAATACCAAAAAATAATTCTCAATATTCCCTTTAATATCTAAATTTCTAAACAAACCTGTCATTCTCACTACCCATCATGGTGTACGTTTTCCCGCTTCCTGTCTGTCCGTACGCAAATACGCATACATTGTAGCCACCGAACGCATTCTTAACGACATCCTGTCCTAGGTCCTCGAACACCATGTTCTGGGCGACGAACTTAGGATCCCCGGGGTCGTGGGACCAGTAGGCATGGTCGAAGGTGAAGTTGTGCGGTTTCCCTTTAAACCAAATATAGTTAATCGTAATAAAAAAACAAAATTGCGAGAAATTAGTATTTTACGCAGTAGTTCATAATCATGAAATCAATGTTCAATTTAAAAAGATTAGATGCAAGCTGGAAGAATAATTTTGTGTGTGCAGTTTACTGAAAGTATTGAACCCGCTCAGAAACTGGTTTAAGGGAAATAAACAACAGACCTTCCTACCCTGACCAGGATATTAGAATGTTTATTTACAAACTGTGTTATTGTTTTTATAAAACCATTCAACGTATAATGTGCACAAACTCTTTCCCCCTAACCTTCAGTATATTATATTAGTTCACTAATAACATTATTTAAGAGATACAATTTTTTAAATTAAAGCAATTCTCATGATAGCATAAATGTAGGCCTACATAAAAATAAAAGTAAAAAATGCGTAAATTTAAAATACAGATTTTATTTCATATTGGGTTATGTTATAATTGTGAACGATCTACTGACCTTTGTCTCCAGCGCCGAGTTGACCTGCAGGTCCAAGCGCTGCCTTTAATTCCGCCGAAGATGGTGCCAGAATAACTTGATTTTGGCACATATTCACCACTAGGGTACTGTCCAGTTGTCTTTCCCTAAATAATTTGTTGCAGGTCAACACCCAGATATGACGTAATCGCATTCCTTCGTAGGGTTGAAAGTTTTGACCAATGAAGAATTAGCAAAATTAAGAAAAACGAAGATTGGTAATACCTAGCATTAAAGGGTCGGACCCTCACTGCCACCTTGACGGAAGCCATTCTTGATAAGTAAGCTTAAAGACGCCTATTTTTGTAAGAGCGTCATCGCATGTGTTCTCTGTCTCACACCCTGTATCCAGCTGTCAACTGGTTCTTTTCCCGTGCTGGGTCATAAGGCGGTGCGAGTCAAGCTCTGATGTCGGGACAGTACACAGCTAAGCTAGCGGGACAGATTAAGTATCCCGCATTTTCTCTGAAAAAGACTGATTTACTCTCCGATCAACAGAACGGAACCCTTGCAAAAGAGGAAACCGCAATGACGGATTCTTCGCATTAACCGACTAAAAGAATAAAATATATATTCTTTGTATTTTATGTATTTAGTCGCTTACTTTGTTTCAAAGTAAGTAAATAAGCAGTTTATTAATAAAGAAAAATACAAAGTTGTGTTAGATAAACAATATAAGTTAAAGTGAAAAAAAAGACAGATCACAATAACGTAATTTATACATATGAATGTTTCTCTGAAACAAGCTTACTTTTAAAATTCATTTTAGGGAACCCAAACCAAGGTTGCCCCGGCGGGCTGGTGGGATTTCCCCCCCCCCCCCCCCACCACCACCCCCCGAGAGGTGCCTTTATTCCGTCAAGATACGAAATGTTTCAATACTTCACAACTTGGAATTATTTCTGCTTGCTTTGCTCATCATGATTGGGTTTGGTTAGTACAGTAACTCAAGTGTCTCAAAGCTATTCAAATACTGATAATTCATATTTGAAACAGGCGCGGCCTAGTACGACTGCAGGCTCATTGTAAGGAGAATTGGTTTTTGCTAATATTTAAATTATGTCCTTTGTATATTCATTTTTTGTAAAACAAGCTAAATGTATAATTCCATGAATACATAAAAAGATGATGGGAAAAATGTAACTGCCACTGGTCAAGGTTTGATTTTATAAATGCATATTGCACACTCCGTCACGGATGAATTGCACAGTTTAGGACATAACCACAGATAAATAGGAGCAATTAAACAATTAGACATTTAGACATATAGACAAGGAAACCAGGACAGTTTACAGATGTTCAATAGTGCTTAACTCCAGCTAGGGAACATACCTCAAACTAGGAGAAAATAACATATGGCAATTAGTTGAACCTGGTAACCTTTAGAAAACATAATTTTCTTATCGACATATCTCAATTGCTATTATAGGTTTTCACTTCAGTTTTAAGAAACAATAAATCATTTTCTTTTGTTAATATTAAGTCGTCACTCGTTATGCAAGTTGTTAAAATTATCAGAATTTTCAGATGGACAATTAGATGCGCAATAAAATAATATGCGACAGGGGAGTAGGGTTAGATTATAGATAGCTTGAGTTTTCAGATAATGACATTGTTGTGAGTTTAACTTTAGACCTGATAAATATGTGTACGAATATATTAAAATTGATTAAAACGTTTCTCACCAAATTATAAATTAAGTTTTTCTTAAAGAAAATGAATTATTTTCGTTCGTGACATGAAATAGAAACACATTTCTTGCTCTGTTTCATAAAAATTACCATGGTACATAAATGTGAACACGTGTTTTTCTCAGTGAATATTAATACATATACATAACTTATTTAAAAAGTATTGTTCAGTGTACACTACTATACTAGTAGAAAGACCCTTAGAAGTTTTTCTCCTAATCATCGATTTGTAAAAGGATTAGTGCTATTATACATTTACATTCCGGCACTTCTTGAAATGAAGATTCTGGCATTTTACATTTTAGATATGATATTCTAATATTTATATTCCCAAGTATTAGGTATATGTATCTAATATTTCTCTTTAATATTACCAAAAAGAAACCTTAAAAAAAGTACCGCATATATATAAATGTATAAATTGAATATAAATGTAACGTGTATCTATAAATATATCACTATGTAGTATATATCAGTCTCTCTTATCTCTTCACACATGTTACATACACCATGCAATTTCTCTAAAACAGAAATAAATAGGAACAACAAAAATAGAACCGTAGCACATTAAAATTATCTTAATCGTTAACTAAAATAAATCAATTTATTTTAAAGGGACTGTAAGCGTAATTTCAAGAGACAGCTGGCAATGCTCAATTCACAAAACTGTACCCCTCAAACCTTTATCTGATCATTAATGTGCAAGATTTTGTCGGTTTTCTAGGTTTGTGTTAAATCCTATGGAAATGCTCGTCACCTTTGAAGAGAAACCATAATTGAAAATAATCAGTTTTCCAAGTTACACATACTGATATCTAATTTATACTTGATCCGACAAAGCTTTTCAAGGTACCGTTGTGAATCGGGCATTCCCATCTTTGCTTTCAGTCCCTTTAGGTCATTATTCAAGTCAAAACCAGCTTTTAACGCGACACTGAAATTTCATCAAAGGTAGTTAAATGTAAATATTTAATGTTTACAAAAAAAAATTCAACAGTGAATCACATTCAAAGCAAGTTGAGAAAATTTCCTGATCTATATCCGTCGTCTTTCGATGGAAGCACTGACTCCTGTCCCACTGGCAAGACTTTCGCGTCTGGTGAACGGAAGGAGGAAAAGAAAGGGTTGTCGCGGAAGAGGTTGCATTGTTATTAAAAGGAAGTTGTTCTTAACATTAAGGTATGGTCGTCCTTGTAGGAAAGGAAGAGTTAACTTCAAAGAAAGTGATGGTTGTTAAAACATATGTTTGTCTTGAAAGGAAGGCTTGCTTTTAAAAGAGAGGAAGCGTTGCCTCTTAAGATGGGAAGATTATCTTATAAGAAAGGAAATACTGTCTCATAAAATAAGGAGGGTTGTCTTGAAATTTAGGAAGGGATGTTATTAAGAGAGGACGTGTTTGCATATAGAAAATGAAGTGGTGTCTTATAAAATAGGGAGGGTTGTCTTGAAGGAAATGTAGGGTTGCTTTCTGGATGGAACAAAGGGTTTGTCTGGATCGAAAAGACGCGTTGTCTGGATGGAAAAGACACGTTGTCTGGATGGAAAAAACACGTTGTCTGGATCGAAAAAACACGTTGTCTGGATTGAAAAGACACGTTCTCTGGATCGAAAAGACACGTTGTCTGGATAAAAAAATAATATTCTGGATGGAAGGAAGATGTGGATTGTGAAAGTTTATAACAGGGTTAATGGGAAAATGAACGGATATCAGCGTGATCGAAATTTATTAGTTGAACTAGAGTTGACTAGTAATCCGTCCCTCTTGAGATTACTTCTTTACAAGTCGGGCGGAGTAGAATAGTGTGCTCGTACTGAGCTGTATAGCAACCTAAAACAAAATATTTGGATTTTTGATTCTAAACTGAAGAGATAAAAGTTTTGTCAAAGATTTCATTGAACAACAGTGTTGTTAACAAAAGGCAAAATTATATTTCCAGAAAAAAATTTATTAATCTGCTTTCATCAAAATCAAATCAAAGAAGATTAGAAAAACAAAACGTATAACAAATACATTAGAGAGAAAAAAACACTATAATAAGTATCCTAGAGCTTATAAAGAGAAAGTGACTGAAACTTGTAATTTCTTTTTACCTTTTATGATAATTTTTTTCGAAAAATATTTATAACAAATTTCTATTCAGCTATATAAATAAAAGGAGGAGGCCTGGAAATAAAAGAAAATATACATTGAGCGAAAGTGTATTTTACGTAACTAGTTTCTGTCTCAGGAAACTTCAAGATGAAACACACTAGAAAATTTTTTTTTATTATCAAAAGCCCGTTTTTCTTCGATTTAAAATATAGAATTCACGTTATAAAAATGTAAATAAACAAGTTAAAAACATATTATTGTGAAATATAAAAATATAAAAAAGTCTGGTGAAAATTAAGTTACCTTTAATATCAACAAGAGGAGGATAAGGATTTACTATTCCCTTCTCTCCTAGATCTTTCAGTGCCATTAGATATCTGAACATGGATAGTATAGATTCTAATTAAATATAGATAATTGTAAAAAATACTAACCACCCCCTACCCCCTTGCAAAGGTGCCCCTGTAAAAAATTCCCAGATGACTCATTTTTAGGAATCATTAGGGTAAAACTAGCTCAAATGCTAAAATTTAGTATTTTAAAAAGTAAATTTCATAAAAAACTTATAACCGACCTTGTTTCTCCGAGTCTATCCAACCAACGACGACAAAAGGCGAGAGTTCCAAAGTTCTTATTAATTACGTTGAGAAGCTGTTTGGATTTCTGCAGACGGAGGGGTATATGACCTGGATATGAAATAAATTAATAAAATTATAGACGAGTAATCCCGACTATTAGATGAACTAGAGCTGAAAACTTTAGAATGGTGGATATCAAGATCATTGCTTGATCTCCTTTGTTATTAATCTCCAGATTAAATATGGCTCGTTTTCCCCTTGTCATTAATCTCCAGATTAAATATGACTTGTTCTCCTCTTGTTATAAATCTCCAGATTAATTAACAGATCGGGATTAAGGATATCCCATTCTAAAGTTTTCAGCTCTGAAGAACTAATTAATGTTGAAGCCGAAGGAGTCTTGGGCAATTTCTATGATCTGTGTTTTAGTTAACATGCATTTCAGTTACAAAATATAACAATTAGATCTCTACCTTCCCATCCTTTCTATCATTTATTCTTAACAGATATGTGAAAATCTCTCTTCCCTTAGTTGTTATCTTACCGACGTCAAACTCCTTCATATAATGAGAGCATTCCATATCCTCATGGACGTGACCCTTCCCAGTGGACCCGAAGGTTTCAATGGCGTAGAATTCATTCTCCTCCATCCGTGTAGTTTCACCGCCTGGAGTAAAATTTCAGTTCAGTTTTCAAATTGTTTTAAATTAAGACTTTCGCTAGATGGTAATCAACAAATACTAAACAAAATATGAAGGGGGGGGGGTGAGTGAAAGAAAGATTAGCTTTCATACTATAAAGATTTGTTGGATTCCGTAAGTTAAAGGGAGTGTTCGCGAAAAATGAAATGGGTTATATGCTTACGGCGAAAAATAATCCCTACTCTTCTTATTTTTATCTCTTGCATCTGTAAGGAGAAAATTGTTAAAAACGGCTCATACCGAAGAACGCTGAGTCCATACAAATTGAGAAAGTTGCAACATTCAACTCGGATAATGAAGACGACATTTTCATACTTTCCAGGAATGTTCGAAAATTCAGCGCCAGCGAAATATTATTTAAAAAACAGAATCAAAATATTATGAGATATAAACTATATTTGAATGCATCGAAAAATAATCAATGATTATTGTTTCTAATATCTAAATGATTTGTTTGGGATTAAATTGATTATTTTACGGTCCGAGTTGAATGTTGCAACTTTCTGAATTTGTATAAACGCAATTAACGTTCTTCAACATGAGTCGTTTTTAACAATTTTCTCTTTATAGAAAAGTAAGACTAGTAGCGACCACAAGTGCTTATTTTCCGACGTAAGCCAATACCACCTTTCATTTTTCGCGAACACACCCTTTAACATTAATATGAATACCAACTTTACCTTTAATAATTGGAACAGATTTGCCCGCATGTATCTGATACGGGCATATTGAGTGACCGTTCAAGTTTCGGATGGATTTAACCTAAAACAAAAAGCTTTTATAGATCTTAAAGGGACTGTAAAGGAAAAATGAAAGGGGGTATAGGATAAAACCTGAGAATCTCAGGAGTTAGACATCTATCTGATGTTCCTGTCTCAGGAAATTGATATAAAACTGTGTCAAAATTATACCAAGCCTTGTATATGTAAGATTTTGTATAAGATTCGAAGTATTGAACAGATCATATTTAACTAATATGCAACCAATTTGAATATGACGATATCCCAGAGGAGTCTCAGAAACTCAGGTTTTGCTCCTATTATTATTTGAATTTAATCATTTTTAATGTTTAATAGATATAATTGATATTACTATTTATACGTCCGGATCATGTCACCAGAACTCCAACCAATGTTAGTGCAGTATTATCGTCACATGACCAGTACACTCCACTGCCATTGGAAGGAGTTCTGGATACGTGACTCGGACGAATATCTAACATTTATAAGTTTTGGTATAATTTTGACACAGTTTTATGTCAATTTCTCGAAACAGGAACATCAGATAGTTGTCTTATAGGTATCGTTCAACTCATAAGATTCATAGGTTTCAGCCTATACCCCCTTTCATTTTTCCTTTACAGTCCCATTAAGATTATAGTCCTGAAGATCTTTTTGTCCGTCCTTCTCATCTTTATTCCCTGATCCAAAGGTTCATCTAAGCCTAGTCTGGGTGGTCAATGTACACCTATTAAACCCCAAATAAATGCAACTTAACAACACTTACAGACATAACATCGTCCTTAACATCTGATTACAATTTTTGAGCGATCGTGACGTACCTGGTATGTTTTCCCGTCAAGCTCAATCTCATGGGATTCCATGACCTCTTGAATAGCTGCTCCGACATCACATAATCGTGCATCTATCCCTGCAGTACGAATACCAGTCTCCGTAGCCTCCTTGACCGCTAGCAGCAGAGGATCATAGCGCTCATTAAATGCTAAAGTCCAGGCGCAATCAATAATTCTTCCCTGAAACAAGTCATTTTAGCAACTTTTAAATTTTAAATACATAAAATCAGAAGCGGTCCAGGATGCAGATGTCTATATCTTCGTTTAAAAGTCATCCAAAATAGAGCCCTCTTAGGTTTACGATGTTTATTTCTACAAAACCCCAAAGATAAGTCGGGTTTAAAAGTTCTTTTCTTACCTTAATGTGAGTTCCAAAATCTAGTTTTACAACATCGTCGTACTCTGAACATAATCCATTTTCCGATATCGGGATTTAATGAAAGCAGCGCAGTTGCTTAAAACAGAATTTTTATTTTGATTCCGTATTAAATTATAATTGAAAAGTTTTTTTAAACAAAGTATAATAGGGTTTGTATTGGATTATAAAATGTTCAGACTATTTGACAAAATCTGATCAACAAAAGAAGACAAGTTTAGTTGAGAAAAAACCCATTAACCCGGAGAAACGAGAAAGAAAAAAGAATTTTCCTAGAACAGTATCATCTCCGGCATTAGGCGTATAATGGGCAGCAACGTTGTTCCTGGAGCAACCAGTAGGAAAAGCTAACCCAGCTTCCAATCCGTTCTCATTTATAAGTTTTCTAAACAAATTATACAATTAGCTGAATTATTCCGACTATAGCTTTAACTAGTCTACCACCCATCCTCTGTGCTACAGCACTAATTCAATCTTAAACAATGATTTTTGTTTGTTTGTACCTAAAAAGGTAAAACGTATTCAACATTCCTCTAGCTTCCTCGGCATGATTACATTTTTCGTAAAATCTATGTTTCTTACTTAACTCTTGTATATTTCTCAGAATTTCTAAGTACCTTCTGTTGTTTGTGCATGGTCCATCTTTTTGTATCCTAACCCTCTGTATCCATATTCTGACTCAGATCCCACTATAACTACTTCTCCTTTTCCTTGGTTTTCATCTTTACCCCGTATCTTTCTCCATTCTCTCTATATCCACACTATATTTCAATCACCATATCCAGGTTCTCTTCTTTACTTCGTATCCTACTCTCTTCTTAGTATCCAAACTCAAATCACATCTCCTGATTCTGGTTTTCATCTTTACTCCGTATCCTACTCTTCCATGCTCAAATCCTAAATCCCGGTTCTTATATTTACTCCATATCCTCCTCTCTAGTATCCAGTCTCAAATAACATCTTCTTGTCTTGTTTTTTATCTCGGCTCTTTATCCTTCTCTCCTAGCTGTCCAGAATCTATTGCAATCTCCATATCCTGCACCTTTACTCCTTATCCTTCCCCTTCCCCTAGATCCATGCTCAAACTTTCTTGGTATCCTTTTTTCGTCTTACTCGCTGTTTGTTGAAACCTGTCCTATTTTCAAATTTTAGTCTAAAAACCATCAAAATTTACTTCTTACTTTTTAGTATTTTGATGGTCAAGTTTTCTAGTCGGAGCACATCTCAATCTGTTAATTCTTTTAATCCCGTCCTACATCCATCCATATCCAACCTCCTCTCTATATGTTACCTGGCAGTACTCTCCAGCTCCTCACAGATATCAATCATTTTCATCCCAGGCTTGATCCATCTCTGTATATGTTGACGGGTTTGTCGGTGAGCTTCAGCTGCCTGAATATGAAAAGTATAATAAAAAATTCATATTTTAAAATATGGGGGCTAAATTGGTGCTGAGTTCCCTTAGACAGAATAAAAAAGGTAAGCCCCCCTCTGGACTAATTCCTGAATACGCCCCTAAATCGGATCTTTCTTTATCTCCGCGCGAACATTGACCAATGAGAGACAAGTAAAAGTTAAGCACAAGTTTCCGTTTGTTTTGAAAAAGCCACGTGGTCAGTTTTTAGATTTACCTGTCTGACATCGTTGTACATATCCAGCTGGAGCCTGTCAATTGCTCTAGCTTCCTCACTAGAGAACCTGTCTTTAGCCTGACCAATCATAAATTCAAATCTTTCATTTTAATAGTTTCAAAGAATTTTTGTAGACAAAATTTTAATCTTGAACCTTTAAACCAAGGATGGTCTTGAGAAAAGAGATAATTTAGGAAAAAAGAAAAAGATGAAGAACAATTGTTCTTCATCAGGAAAACAAGTGAAATAAAAGAGTACAGGGGATGAAACTTTAGTATCTTAGACATGTGAGTCACTTCAGCGCTCTACAGGAGTATATAATTTCAAGAATCCCCCCCCCCCACTAAAAAATTATTCTTTAATGCTCTGAGGAAAAAAAATAAAAAAAATTGGACATCAAACATTTTTTTCACCCAAAAATTCCTTTGTTTGTCCCCTGTCCCACTTAATATGTGGGGAAAATTATTTTCCAAGAATGAGGAATAATTTTTCGAGTTAATGAACACCCCAAGCTCTCTGGCAGTTTAACCTTAGAGGTAGACAACTTAACCAGATTTAAGGCGTTTTGAAGTAAAGTTTTTGCAGTGGATATAGACTAAAATAAAGTTAAATTTCGCCCTTTCTATTAAACTTAAAAAACGGAAAAACTTTCCTCGACTTTGTTACCATTCGGTGGCAGGATTTAATTTACTTTTTCAGCTCCGTTTTGAGGACTATGAACAACTTCTTTTAGGTGCTTCAAATTTTAAAGGTATTTGCCATAATTTAAAATAAGAAAAAGTGTATTCAATTTAACACATCATCTTGGTATCAAATATAAAAAAACGAATTTTTTTTATTGATGTTGACATGTATTTATATCTGGGGGTAGTGTAAAATGCAAACTTGTCTTTTTCAGCAAGTTCAGTTTCAGCTATTTATCGAATATTACTTTATGTATCAATTTAATCAAAATAAGAAAAAAATCAAAATACAACACGGTGCCACGTTGTGTTGTTTGTAATGTTTCATCTTTAAACTTAATTTACCCATAAATTTGACCATTACTGTTTGAAGCCTCATCGTTACCATTAGAAAGATTTTAAACCAGTTCCTTTTGATCGTCCGCGGCAATAGGATGTTCCATAATTTGACCCTCAGGATAGTTTCCTGATGGGAAAAGAGAACTGATGGGTAGAGTTGGTGGATCTGTTTGAATTTTCCCGGTTTTCTTTTTATTCTTGTTTTTCTTCTTCTTAGTCTTTTCCTCTTCATCCCCCTCATTGGTGGTGGGGGCATCAGCATCGTTCTCCTGGGGTTCCAGGTTCTCAGCGTTCTCACTCGGTTCAGTCACCTTCTTCTTCTTCTTGTTCTTTTTTTTCTTCCCGCCTTCGGAAATTTCTAAATTTTCTGTTGCCTCGATAAGTTTATCAGGATTTGTGTCATCTTTAAGATCACTCATTTTATATCTGAAAACCAATATGTTGAACACGATCAAAGAAAGATTAAATATATTTGAAAATTTGTTAAATGGGCATATGATTGGATTTACTTGCTCACCCTGAGCCTGTCCTTGTTGTCGTTGGACACCGCATCCATGGCCTCTTGCAATTGCCTTTCGAATAATTTGTTTGTGTCGGTAAATCCCTGCCGGGTCTTCCCAAAGCTGTTTGGTCCGCTGGAGGTGACGGTCTCCCGACCTACGTTTCTCATTTTCATTCTGCAATACAAAATCTTCCCATGAAGAGAGCTCTGTAGGGTGAAGGACCCTGATACAGGGCGGACAGGGATGGGGATAATAAAATATTAAAATGTGTTTGTACCTTGCTTCAGGGGGAATCTCTTCTTCGTCGCTGCTATCGTCGGCGTTGAAAACCTGCGCCAGTCTAGGTTTTTTTACTACACTGCCTCCACTGCCTCCGATTCTTGCTCCGCCGCCTCCAGTACCTCCGCCACTAGAGCTCTTGCCCAAGCTTAGTTTCACTGAAGCATTTGTTGGGGTTGGAGCAGGTTTAATTTTAGTCTTCTGAGCATTTGTTGGTGTTACAGACTGCCATGACGGGGCAACACCTAGAGGTGGGGGAGGAGGCAATCTTGAACCTGAAGATTGATGTGGAGGTAAACCCCGGGGAGGTGGAACTACTCCTAGCGGGGGTGGAGTTACTCCAAGTGGTGGTGGTTTAACCCCTCCGTAAGGAGATGGCACTGCTCCTAAAGGTGGGGGAACTCCTCCAAATGGCGGAGGAACTACTCCTAAGGGTGGTGGAACTCCTCCGAAAGTTGGAGGAGGAACAACTCCATGTGGGTGTGGAGGAACTCCATAATTTGATCGATCATCTCCAGTATTTTTGGAATTTTTATTTACAACATTGCTTCTGGATTTATCTCGGCTTCTTGATCTACTTCTGCTGAGACTACTAGGAGAACTGGAATATTTTCTAGGTTTGCGTCCTTTACTCCTACTCCTAGAGTTTAAATTGTTTTTGATCCTGCTTCCTGATCTTCGTCTTTTGTCTCTACTTCGAGAACGATTACGTCTAGGACTAGGAGAAGATGATCGTCGTCTTCTTGGTCGAGAAGAAGATTTACGTCTTTGACGTCTTGAAGAGCTTCCGTCACTGCTGCTACTCCGCCGTCGACGACTGTTTTTATCTGAATCCTCACTTGAACTCCGTCTAAAAATGAACTCATAGAAAATCGGCACGATATTAGATAGAAATTAGAGATTTAACCTTTAGTTAAAAATAAAATTTGTTTTAAAGGGAGAGACTGGCTGGACATGGTAGTTGAGCTGAAAGTGTAGTATTGTAGAGAAAACTTTCGGATTCATTTGAGACCAATGAGATATTTTTACGGTGTACTATTTTTAAATAAGAGCGTAAAGTCGTTAGTAATATTTCACCAGTTGTTTCAGCCACCAGAAGAAACAGTTTTTTACAATTCTGAAATAACATGAACAAAACTTTAGGATTCATTGGTATTAGTACTGCATTTTCATTTCAACTATGTTAAAATGTTAATAGAAGGTCTCTCCCATTACTCAGATTCTACACACAAATAAAAACACTTTAAAGAGTTGTAAGGAAAATGAGAGGGTTGGGGAGGGGAAAAAAATGTGACCGTTCTTAACATTTTTGTTGTCGTGTGTGTGTGTGTGTGTGTGTGTGTGTGTGTGTGTGTGTGTGTGTGTCTGTGTGTGAGTGTGTGTGTAAGGGTGAGTGTGTGTGT